TGAATTTAGAATACAATATATGGGGATACCTAAGAATGATGTTGATATAATAAAACTACTATTAAGCAGAGAGGACAGTCTCGTGCAAAAATATGATTAGAAATTTGCCTTATGTCCTAGAATTCCGCAAACATCCACCTGGTAATTGGTAAATAACAGCATATCTACAATTTGAGTTCCTGCATGAATTAATTAATATCAGCATATCCATCTCTTTGATATACTGTGCTCTGCTGTTGCTCCCTTGAGTGTATTGATCTTAATTGCCATTCTTTTGCTAATTTAATTTTAGCTCCTGATGGTAAATTCTGTCCTGTGTTCCCTTCACTCCCTCCTACTACGTGGAGTGAAGCACGAATTAACATTACATATGTACCAGTTCAAAACATGTTTACATAGTTGTCAAGGGATGCAGACCATTATATACATTTTGTAATTTAATAACCACACATATTAAAACCTCAATATATCAAATCCCATTGATTTCAGTTGGGTTTATTGGCTTGGAAAATTTGTGGATACTTTACACTCTGATCCTAATCCTATCTGTGATTACACGGAAAATAAATTCCAATAATTTTGGCCGGTCTTACTTCCTAGGAAGTGTGTTTATACTGAAGTCTTTGTTTTTTATTTATCTCCCGGCTCAGTTGAAATATTACCTTCTTGATGGTTGAGCCAATTCATCACAATGGGATTTCACACCACCAAAAAACCTCCCTATGTCCAAATCCTATGAGAATTATGAAGTACTGCTGACATTAACAGCAGAAACCAGATTCTGTGGGGACTTACTAGATAGTAGCTAAGCAGTTTGAACTCTCCCACGTGACTGGGATGAAGAAACAGGGCTCAAGGGAGTTGAGATCTGGAGATGGCACACACACGGCACACACACTGTATGTTTAAAGCACATGACTTACCTCAAAGAATCCTGGAAACAGTAGTTTAACCATTGCAGAGCTACAATTTCCAGCATTTAGTTCCTAGACTTCTTTGGGGGGAGTCATGTGCTTTCAATGTGCATTAAACATGTGGTGTGTACACAGCCAGAGAGGCAGCTCCCGCCCAGCAAAGGTAACTTTTAAATCAGAACTCAGCGTAAAGGTGTCCTATAGAATCTTTCCACTTTCAGAGCTGTTACAAGTTTGCATTTGCTAACATAGCATACGCCTACTTACACTTTTAACTTGCTTTTGTGGCATCAGGAAAGACACCCTCATTAAGCAATGTGCCTTTTTGCAGCGAGTTACTAATGGCTTTGAAACTAACCAGACTGGCCTGATCACTTTCCACTTGCAAGAGTTGTTATCCATTACATCTTGCCTGGGCTTGACCGACAAACCCACAGGCAGAGTAGACCTAAGGCAGCAGATTTTATTAAAGATTTCACAAACTGCTTCCAAATCCTTGTTTGAAATTGAAATCTTAGTGTGACGCACGTTTGGAAGCGGTCCTGGTTAGGGCTGGCCTTAAGTTGCATGGCATTGGCAAGCTTTGGTTATTGCAAATCACAGAAGGGAGGGGTGAAGCTGCTGCGCGTGAGGGGGACGGGGCAGAACAAGGACTGCACAAACTTGTGGAACATTCCCAATCATTTGTCGATTAGGTGGGCATGACACGTGAACCAGTATGGTAAGCTAAACGTAATTGGCCATAACCGGTTGGCTTTTCAAAGCGCATCCCAACAAAGAATGGATGTCTCTCTGCAGTGAATTCAGTGTACAAGCAAGCCCCTATACACATTGCAGTGACTTCAAAGTTCTTTAACTTTTACCTTAATATGTGTGTATTCTTATTTCAGCCTATTCTTAGGCGAGTTATCTTAGAAGCATAGAATTGGAGGGGAAGAATCATAGAATTGAAGGGGACTGCAAAGGTCATCTCGTCCAACCCCCTGCAATACAGGAATCTCAGCTAGGGATACCTCAGTTAGTAGAGCATGAGACTGTTCATCTCAGGGTTGGGGGTCAAGCCCTACATTGGGCAAAAGATTCCTGCATTGCAGAGGGTCGGACTAGATGATCCTCACGGCCCCTCACAACTCTTTCATTCTATGATCGTGTCTTCTGTTCTTAACATTAGATACACCGCAGATTCTTTGAGATTTGTTTCTGATGAGTTGTTTAGAACAGCTTCACACTTCATGCCATACCTGCGTTTGCTGCCCACTTTCTCAAGCAGGTATAATTTGTGGACTTGTAATGCTGAATGCACACCTGAAGGGGACCTCCAGCCAGCTAGAGCTGTTAGCATGTGCAGACGGCTGTTGGTGTGCATCTGCCCTTCACACTTAAATGTGTGTTAGTCAAGACACGGGTGTAATGCTAGTGTAGCCCCAACAAGGTACAGAAGTTTATTTTATGTGCATTTGACGGGGTTGGCCAGTTTTAGATCATTTTTGAATGAAGCAGAGAAACAAAAAGGAAGAGAGTAATGACGCTAAGAATTGTGTAAGAAGAAAAAGGTGCTGCTGGACTCCCACAGGGATCTCCAAGCAGTTTTGTGTGGATATTGAAAAGCATGGGGGATAAAATGGAGCGTTTAGGATCCCCGTGGCATAATTGCCGCAGAGGAGAGCATCCGTCCCCCAGCACAACCGTTTTGCAAATGACTGTCCCAAGTAGGGAGAAGAACCACTTTGGTGCTGTACTGCCTGCCCCTGAGAGGGTGGAGTTGCCACGGAAGTGACTTTAAGAAGCTGGTCAGACTAATGGTCCATCTAGTTCAGTATTGTTTTTTCTGCCTGGAAGTAGCTTCCTAGGTTTTCAGATAGTACTCTTTTCCAGCCCTACCTGGGGCCCTTTGGATGTGCTCTGTTGCTAAGCCATGTTGTTGTCGTTTAGTTGTGTCCGACTCTTCGTGACCCCATGGACCAGAGCACGCCAGGCACTCCTGTCTTTCACTGCCTCCCGCAGTTTAGTCAAACTCATGCTGGTAGCTTCGAGAACACTGTCCAACCACCTCGTCCTCTGTCATCCCCTTCTCCTTGTGCCCTCCATCTTTCCCAACATCAGGGTCTTGTCCAGGGAGTCTTCTCTTCTCATGATGTGGCCAAAGTATTGAAGCCTCAGCTTCAGGATCTGTCCTTCCAGTGAGCACTCAGGGCTGATTTCCTTAAGAATGGAGAGGTTTGATCTTCTTGCAGTCCATGGGACTCTCAAGAGTCTCCTCCAGCACCATAATTCAAAAGCATCAAAGGCCATGGCTAAGCCATGACCACTCCGCAAAGTCCGAAGACCCTCAGACTTGCTCTTCCCAGCTCACCTGGTAGAACGTTGCAGCTGATGTGAGGGTCTGCAAAGCCCTGAATCCTTCAGACCCTTTTGAAGGGACTGCTGCAGCCCATGGTCTGCATCACCATACAGAGGAGCACGATAACCCACCACACCCAGGAAGGTCCCAGCGTCCTAGGGAGAGGTACAGCCGCCCTGTCCTGTTGCTTAAGGACCAGTTCAAGGATTTAACCATGATGGGAAGGGAGATGATGTTGGCAGAACAACAACCTGTGATGAATCCTCACTGCCATTATCGGGGCACAAGGGGTGCATTCTCTTGTCACAACAGATTTCAAAATACATTAACTAAGCTGACCCAATACACAATTATCCAGCCTTGCATAAAGGAATTCTTTTCTGGAGAGTTTTTGCCGTTGTAGCAACATGGGCCCTGCTTCCTTTGCAGCCGGTGGTAGATTTTTCGTCCCGCTTTCCCACATGGCCTGAACGCCACCAGTGCTATTATAATATAAAGCCAGCTTTGAAGTAAACCCAATAGATTTTCTTAATAAGCTCATTGCTATCCTGTAAATAGCATGAGGCACATTAAAAAAACCCAGCCTACCTTATAGTGGCTAGTGGATCAGTGGATCAGATTAAGTAATCCTGGCAGGGAAGATGTGGTTCATTTTAATGAAATTGTTACTTGTAGGTGAACATTATAAATAAGAAAACAAATACACAAAGCTTGATCAGCCTTGCAAAATAATTCCATCCATTTGATTCCTAGTACACTTTTTGCTACATTCTGTGGTGCCAGTCACGATGTTTTGCAATGAAATCTATTTAGGGTTACAGACTTTGTCTCTGCTAAGAGATGAGGAACGCTATTTTTTTCCTGGAAGAAGGCACATTCAGAGAAGGCCTTTACCTCCTGAGGAAATGAGGACAGACTGCTTGGAGATAGCTGCTAAATAATGCAAACTAGGACTGCAGCCCTAAACACTGAGCATGCATAGGATTGCCTTGTGAGTAGTAAAATGATGAACTGGAAACTGTTATAGAGCCTTCTGAATAGAAAGCATGTTCATCTGCATTATGCTAGGACTAGAATGATCAGTAATTTGTTTTATATTTTTAATTTTTAAATATGTAGCTAGCCCCAAGATACTGTATTTTTCGCCCTATAGGACGCACTTTCCCCCCTCCAAAAATGAAGGGGAAATGTGTGTGCGTCCTATCGCGCCGGGCTCCCGAGGGCTGCGCAGAGCTGCCTGCATTCTGAAGCCTGGGGCGCACTGAAGAGTGCGCCCAGGCTTCGCGCAGCTCTCCGCAAGCCTGGGGAGACTGGCACGACTTCCTACCGGGCTCCCTAGGCTTGCGGATAGCAGGCTGTTCTCGGGGCTGGGTCAGGGGGGGAAAAACCTAGGTGCGTCCTATGGGCCAAAAATACGGTAAATATCAAGTAACAGTGGAAAATGCTCATTTGTGTTAGCAGGTCTGAGGTGAAAAAACCTTACAACTGATACTGATAGTGAAAGTGACTAGTTAATAGTAATAAAAAAGAACGAGTGTTTCCTGCAAAACTTGTGTTTGTCATTTAAGGATGAAGAGATTAGCTCATTGTGCAGTTTGTGCTGTATTTCCTTTACATATCCTTGGCTTTAAAAATCTGTGGCACATTGTAAGAAGCAGCTAACGCCATAAAGCTACTTAGATAGGGCGAAAAACCACAGGTAATTTGAAAGTTGTTTGAATAAGATTTCTGCTTTATTTTCACAGGTCCATGCATTGTAAGTGCCTTTCTGAAGTCACTCGTAGAAGAAACAATTCGTCTGCTTTTTTCCAGAACGATTTCTCTGCCAGCTCTTACCTTATGTGTCATCTGCAGCAGTTTGCCAGCCACTTGATGCAAAACTGACTCCTGCATTTACAGAGCCTGAGGAAAATATTAGTTTGGGCATGAAAACTGCTGAATGTGTAGCTCTTTCCGTGTAATCAATGCCAACAAAGAGGACACAGTGGGCTAAAATGTTGTTGAGGAGTGCCATTGCATGAAAATAAAACTTGCTTAACAAAACGGTGTCAACAAAACCATCGAGGGACTCACATTTTCTACAGCCAGAAATGCTCCCGAGCATGAATATTGTGCAGCCAAAAGTCTACAAGTGGCACATATTGATTGATGATTGACATGCTTGCTGATAAATAGTTCTCTCATTCAGCTTCGTGCGCATTGGACTCTCTGAAGCATTTATTACATCATTGCTGCAAGGAGCTATTCACATTGAAAGGGTTTCCCTGAGTTGTTGGAATTCATAACTCGAGGTGATTTCATTAACAGCAACTCTCAAAATCTAAATCAATTGTACACCATGGCTTTGAATGTTGCTCCTGTAAGAGATACAAAATGGCTGACATTAGAAGTGTGCAGGCAGTTTCAGAGAGGAACTTGTTCACGCTCTGATGAGGAATGTAAATTTGCACATCCACCCAAAAGCTGCCAGGTTGAAAATGGAAGAGTTATTGCCTGCTTCGATTCCCTAAAGGTAAGAACTAAACATTATGTGTCTTGTTTATGGCAAGAAATAATGGTTTATTAAGTAATTTTAAAGATACTGCTGCTGTTAATAGTTGCAGTGTAAATTAAATACAAATTATGGTTTGTATTAACAGCAGCTTAGAATCCAGACTACGATGTGAGCTTCCAAACGTACAGCAGGCAAACCATGGATTGGAACTTGCCTCTTTTTGTTTCCCAACCCCTCTCTATACCCAGCTTAATTAAATTCACTGCTGTCTGTGTTTCTGGATAGAACAGCAGACTATGGTGTTCCACAGACTAGGACAGGCACAGGCAAACTCGGCCCTCCAGATGTTTTCCCATCCCATCATCCCCGACCACTGGTCCTGTTAGCTAGGGATGATGGAAGTTGTAGTCCCAAGACATCTGGAGGGCTGAGTTTGCCTATGCCTGGACTAGGAAGTTAAGGAGGGAATAGGAGAATGGAGGCGGGTGAAGGGGGACGCATAAGCCTGAAACTATTAACGAAAGACAAACGTGGGTTTTCCATCACATCCAAACTAGATCACCACTCCTTTTATTTGAGGTATTGTCTGAATTCAGCCTGTGTTGTATCTTATTTGAAGAGGGAGGGGGGGAGACTGCATATTTTCCTTGTAGCTGTGAATCTCAAAGTCTGTGGTGTCACCTAGTATGCCATGAGTAATAAATTGATTTACATAATTACAAGCTCCTGTGTTCCCAAAGTACTATCAAAAGAGGAGACTGCCCACTGTTCTGCAGCTTTAATTGCTCTGGCCTTACCTCCCTCCTGTCAGCCTCCACAATGTGGAGGTAATTCTTACACACAGGCTAATACATTGTGAACCACTTGTCTATAAGGCCACTTTCTCAAATGGCTATGTTTTGAAAACTTCTAATGTGAATGTACAAACTAGATGCGCTGGATGCACACTCAACTTTACTCAATCCCCTCTTGAATTAAAACTGATGATTAGAAAAATCAAGAGATTCAAAAGTGTTTAATATTGTCATATTCTGAAAGCATCCCAAGCCCCTTTAGCCACAGATTGCTGTAAATAACACCTTTAGATGATATACTGCTGCTTCCCTTGCTTATTCTATCCTACCCAAGTCAACTGGCCAGGTGTAGGAGAGTCAGAGCCCAGTATCTCTTGCCTCCGTCCCTAAACTCACTCTCTTAAAAACCCCAACATTTCCATTTAGCATACCCAGCATCCCAGAAGCTGTAGAGCTTCACCAAAGCTGTTTGATAGTCAGTTGATGCTCCAGGGTGCACATGTCTTCTTTCTTCGGCCACTACCTTCCTAAGCTAAGGACAGCAGGGTTTCTGGGAACCCATTGGCTTTTCAGCCCTCTCCTCACAGTCAAGTTGTGGGATCAGCCTGAGAAAGTCTGTCCGGCTTCTTGAAACTTTTTGTTTGTATAAAGCATAAGAGTAACAAAAGTTTTATCGTGCATTTTTTATTGTAATTGGTTTGGTTGTTTATACAGGCGTATTAAGAGTCAAATGCTTAGTTCTGAGAATCAAAAGTCTTGTTTAGTTTTAAAACGTTGATGTGGTTAAATGATTAAGGCTATTTTTGGCTTAGTGGTGGTACTTGGCTAGTGTTTAGACTTTTATGCTCTGTTTCTCGGAATGGTAAGTTGGTAAGTACTTGTCTGTCATACCCCTTCTCTCTTTGGCTTAGAGCCCCTTCCATAAAATGTTTTTCAACTTTGCACGTCTTAAATCTAAGACATTTGGAAGTATGCATACCCTTTAAGAAGAGGAAGTGTTTGCATCACCACCAAGATGCAAGTTAGTCTGCAAATGTACATGTTGGCAGTAAACAGGTTCACACGATAACCTTCCTTCAGGATATTTCTGGTGTGTTTCTGGTCTGGAGAGAGATGTATGTTAAGGGGGGGGAGAGAAGTAACTGTGGAAAAAAGAAAGGCCCCTTCAGGAAAATCTGTTGGCTTTATATCATGCAAGTCCTTCACACAAACAATTGTCTTTGTGCACTATTAATGACCTTAATCCATGGATTATCATATTGTGTTTTAATAGCTTCTTAAGAGATGTTCTAGCTCATTTAGGACAGTGGAAGCATGCATGTTTTATTGTTACATGCACATCCTTTGCTCTCTTAGTCTATATGCGCTGCATATAAACCATTTTATGTCCAACGCAACTTGCCTTGCTACCGTAACCCACTCCTGGGTTAACTCCTAACATCAGACTTGCTCATCCCCATTATTCACGGTCAGTCCCTGACCTCTCCTCCATCTCTGTATTGTGTGTCCGTTGTCAACTGTTTGCCACTTTTGTGAATTTGTATAATACCAAGGAAGACTTGGCGCTATGTGCAATTAAATATTTAGCAGCAGGAACAGGAGTCCAAGTGATTGAACGTCCGTGAGGGTCACCATTGCCATGCTTTTCATACAAGCAGAGTTATCTTTGCTTAAATTTTTATGTAAGCAAGTTTGCATGATGACCCTGGGGGCTGGGAGGCTTGTCCGCAAGTCACAGCACAGGGACAAACTCAGCATGATGGAAGCAAAGACATTTGTTTCTTCGTGGATCTGCCCTTATTCACAGGTAGTGTGAGCGGTGAAGGTCTAGAAAGAAAGAAAGGGAGGGGGCACCTGTCACTTCTCACAATGATGGTCTGGAAAGTTCAGCCCCCGCCAGCACCCTTCTTTTTTTTGTCAAAAATTTGACCCACCTATCCGTTGCTTTTTGTCTGATTGGACAGATATGGGAACAGCAAGCACAGCTGCCCCAAACCACTCTGTCATTAACTCACTTGGTGATTTGGAGCAAGTCACAATATCTCAGTCTCTGTTCTCAATCTCAGTAAAAGATTAAGCACCTCCCTCCAAGCTGAATGAACGAACAAGGTGGAGAACTGTAAAATGATTAGGGCATGAAAACTTCTTGCCTGCTGCCCAGAATCTGCTCTGCTTCTAGTTCATATTTACAAGAGACATAACCCCAGAGGGGCTGCAGCAGAGCATGTGTATGAAAGTATCGGGGTTCTAGAGAAAAGGAAATTCCTAATTGAAAGCATTTTGACGGCCATATATTTTTACAACTTTTATTCCATCTTCATGAAATCCTTAACTGTGATACCAATCACTTGGCCAAATTTGCTTCAGACTCTCAGTGGTTACTAGCAGAAATGACCCACTGGGTGTAGCAGAGATGCCACGCTGACGTCCTGTTAGGTGGGTCACTATTGCTTACAGGAAGTTGGCACAGTGTAGATGCACCAGCGGAGCCAGTGGTGTGCTTTCATCATGCCAACTTTTCTGCCACCTTACTCCTCCTTTACGCCTTTCTCCTGCCTAGAAGTTATATTCCAGCTATACCAAGTTAACATTTCTGATATAATATTATATTTGCAAACTTTCAGAAGAGAATTAACACATACATATGGGCAATAGCCTTAGACAGTTTTCAGCAGAATTAAACACTAATCCAAAAGTCTTCTTAAAAGGAAGACTTGCAGTGTAGCCAAAGACATAGTATATCATCTTCTCTGTAATTTTCCAGTGGGGAAGTATTATTGCAAATATGCATCAATATATATATATATATATATATGCAGGTTTTGGTGTCCTCGGGTGTCTTCCCGTGTAAAAGTTGGGGTGTCTAGGCGACGTTTCGACGAGGTCTCACTCGTCATCTTCAGGCTGGTGCTTTCGGCTTCTTGTTACTGGAACAGAGCGGGATCTCAGTGTTTGAGTTCCTATAAATACTGTTGAGGAGGTGTGGTGTATAGCCTCCAATGTTCTGGGCAGAGAGGAAGTTCCCAGGCTAGTGTGCCTTTTCTTCTTTTGTTCCTTAATTACTTGAGGGATATCTTGAGTGATTTCTTGAGTGAAATCACTCAAGAAATCACTCAAGATATCCCTCAAGTAATTAAGGAACAAAAGAAGAAAAGGCACACTAGCCTGGGAACTTCCTCTCTGCCCAGAACATTGGAGGCTATACACCACACCTCCTCAACAGTATTTATAGGAACTCAAACACTGAGATCCCGCTCTGTTCCAGTAACAAGAAGCCGAAAGCACCAGCCTGAAGATGACGAGTGAGACCTCGTCGAAACGTCGCCTAGACACCCCAACTTTTACACGGGAAGACACCCGAGGACACCAAAACCTGCATTCCTGTACCCGTGAAAATCTACGAAAGCAAATATATATATATATATATATATATATATATATATATATATATATATATATATTTAGCTGCTGTCTAAGGGCCAGTGTTTGTTTGGGTGCAGTTCATTAAAAGAATGAACGCATGAAGACCCATCAACAAGAAAGCTCCACGAAGGGAGAATGGGAAGGGAAAAATCACCATGAGGTGATCCAAATTATTGGATAACCAGGGCCAAAGCAAAAGACAGCTTAACATTACTATCCATATTTCACATTAATATTTGTTAGCTGTATTGACTGGCAAGATACCAGGTGTTTTTGTTTTCCTTTAACATTATAAGCAATCATGTTTGTAGGAGGTGTTGCATAATAATTTTAAAAATGCAATATTTTGAAATATGTCTGCCCAATAACTGTCCTTTATAATCCCAGAGGCTGTATTTTGAACTACATTTTCTGTGCAGTTTTGAAAGACAGCTTCATTGGATAACAGTGGCTGGGTTATCTCTTCATCAGCTGAAGCTGATGGAAAGGTGCTTCATGAACAGAGGTCACTTGGGCCATACCTAGGAACCTGATCATTTTAGGGGGAGTGCAAATCAATTCAGAACAGGCTGAACACCATCTGCCTGACCAGATGTACCCCTTACCCCTAGCCACTTTTGGACATATGGTGAAAAGTGGGGCATGAATGCCTTAAATAAAATAATAGAACTTCCATCTTGTCAGGATTGAGTTTCTGTTTAATAGCCTTCACCCATCCCATTGTCTATCCCAGGCAGTGATTCAACAGTCTGAACACCTCACTTGTCTGAGATGCAGAAAGAGCTGGATGTCATCAACCTA